TAAAGGATTTAGAGATTAAGTATACAAATCCTATCAACCTGTATTATGATAATAAAGCGGCAATTCAGATTGCACACAATCCTGTTCAACATGATCGAACTAAATATGTTGAAGTAGATCGTCATTTTATCAAAGAGAAGCTAGATCAAAAAATTATATGTTTTCCATTTGTTAAATCTGCAAGTCAACTAGCTGATATCCTCACCAAGAAAATATTAATCAAAGATTTTTATAGTATGATTAGCAAGTTGGGCATGATAGATATCTATACACCTACTTGAGGGGGAGTGTTAGCTGGCAAGATTTATGTATTAGCTGGCGAGATATATATAGATTACAGGATTGTAGGGAAATCTATTTGTTTCCTTGTAACATATTATTATCATACCAAGAATAGGAGTCTAGGCAGACTAGGTTTCTTACCTACTTGTATATATATTCTTCTATAAAGACAAATAAAAAGTAATGCAGTGAAGTATTTTACAGAATCAAAAGCTTTATTTATATGTCTGCTATAATCAACATTAACAGTTCAATCATAGAGGGCCTCGCAATTCTAGTTCCAGGCCTGATTTTTGTAGGTTTCACAGCACTCCCAGCAACGACAACAGACACAACAACTGGTAGGGAAATTGGCAGCGTAGTAGGGGATCCAATTCCTGCTGCCAATTATGTCAAGCTTTCGAACATACTGCTCCTTAGTGCTCCCAACTTCAGCAACGTGGTTATGGTCAGCTGCATAGTGCCAATCTAGCACTGCATAATCCTGTAGGTACTGCTGGATGGTTTTTGGACACTGGTGTAAATCAACACATCACACCTGACCTTGCAAACTTAACTGCTTCAGAACCATATAATGGTAATGATAATTTGCATGTTAATAATGGTGAGGGACTTCCCATATCTCATATCGGTCATAAAAAAACTATATACCCCATATCATTCATTTACTTTATCTAATGTCCTGCATGTTCCTGCAATCACGAAACCTCTACTTTCTATTCAGAAATTTTGATTTGATAATAACATTTATTTTGAATTTCACCCTTTCTGTTTTATGTCAAGGATCTCAACACTTATGAAGTACTCCTCTCAGGACAGAGTAAAGATGGTCTCTATACTTTGTTCAGGTTCAGGTCTTTCATCCCATCAGATCCTCAAGCTTATTGGTCTCCCTACATTTCTGCTTCCGCTGATTTGTGGCATCGTCACCTAGGTCATCCTACCTCTTAATTTTTTTAATTTTTAGTCCTGAAAAATAAGATTATTTGTAACAACAAACGTCTTAATTTCCAATATCAAAGTTGTCCCTTAGAAAAATCATTGTGTTTGTCTTTAAGACCTACTGATCACAAAACTTATGTTGCGTTTGAATTAATTTTTAGTGATATGTGGAGCTTTGCTCCCTTTTTTTCTTCAGATGGTTATTGTTATTTTGTTATTTTTATTGATGCGCATATAAAATATATGTGGTATTATCCATTTGTTGCAAAATCTAATGTTTATTCTATTCTTCATCAATTTTAAACTCTTGTTAAGCATTAGTTTTCATTAAAAATAAAATCTATTCAAACTAATTAGGATGGTGAATATCGTAAACTCTCCACTTTCTTTTAGACCATTAGCATTCATCACCGTCTGATATGTCCTCACACTCGCGAACAAAATGGAACAGTAGAAAAACATCATAGGCATATTATGGAAATCGGCCTTACTCTTCTAGGATAATGTAAAGCTCCATTTCGTTTTTGGAATTATGCTTTTGACACTTCAGTTTATCTCATCAATCGCATGCTTACTTTTGTTCTTGCAAATCACTCTCCATGTGATTGTTTGTTTCATTGGTCTCCTGATTATCATTTTTTATATGCTTTTGGATGTCTCTATTTTTCTTTTTTGCATCCCTATAATAATCATAAATTGAATTTTCGATCTTCTCCATGTGTGTTTTTTTGCTACAGTTCCTCTCACCTTGGTTATCGATATTTTAACATTGAATCTCATCACATATATATATATATATATATATATATATATATCTCGTCATGTCCATTTTCATGAACATGTTTTTCCGTTTGTTAATTCTAAATAGAGTGCACAAGTCTCGGCTCAAAACCACACATCATCTCCTGCTACCATCCTTCCAAATTTGACCCACTCCCCATTGTTCACCGATCATAACACACCCTATCTTGCCTCTACCTCTATCCTATATTCACTTCCTACCAAAATACCATAGCCTCTATTTTTCCCTTGCCGATCACCACATGCATCTTTATCTCACCATTTTGTTGCAGGTATAGGTTGTAGATCAATTTTCCCTGCACTTCAGCAGGATGTCTCTAATAGTATTGGGACACCCTTTGGTTCCTTCTTTGCTTTTTATTCTGCCAGTCACCCGACTTCTGTGGACTCTATCTCTATTGCCAGCCCTCTGTCTGTGGCAGCTTCTTCCTTGGTTTTTTTACTTGGTTTGAATCTAATGGTTGATTTCTCCATTTATCCACTGTAGCAGGACACCTCCGTGACACCCACCTTTTTTGCATCACCACCGTTGTTCTGCCGCCACCCTATGGTCCTTAGATCGCGATAGCCCAAAACCGTAAATCTGGTGGCCTCTATTTCAGCTGATACAGCTGCCACCCGAGTATTGCTCTCTCCTTCCTCTAAATCTATTGCATTTTCTAATGCAGATAAATATATTGCCCGGCATGATGCTATATGTGATGAGATTAAGGCATTGCGTTCCAATCACACTTGGTCCCTAATGCCCTTTCATCCTTTGATGAATGTTGTTGGTAGCCGATAGGTATATCGAATTAAACATCGTGCTGATGGCAGCATTGAATGTTATAAAGCCTGTCTAGTTGCTAGAGGCTTTACCCAACAGGAAGGCATTGATTATTCTAAAACTTTCAACCCATTTATTAAGTAGGCCACCATCAGATTAGTCTTTTCCATTACGGTTTCACGTAATTGGAAGATTCATCAGCTCGATATTCATAATGCCTTTCTCAATAATGTTCTTACTGAAGAAGTCTATATGAAACAACTTTCAGGTTATGTTGACCCTATTCTTTCATCTCATGTATGCAGATTGCACAAGTCATTATATGGTTTAAAACAAACACCTAGAACATGGTACACATGTCTAAGTGATTTTTTTCTCTTCATTGGTTTCCTTGCCTCCAAGGTTGACACCTCCCTATTTATCTTATCTGATGATATAAATATCTTTTATCTCTTAGTCTATGTTGATGAAATTCTACTCACAAGCAGCAATTATGCCATGCTTCATCGTCTAATCCAGTTACTAAGCTTAGAATTCAAGTTTCATGACTTAGGTTATGTTCACTACTTTCTAGGTATTGAAGTTCGGTGATCATTACACCATGTGATTTATGTACAGAAATTATCAAACATATATATTACATACTTTGTGCATATACCTTGGGATTTTTGCCTTTGTAACATGGCTTTTATTCGCTGCAAGAAAGAGTAAATTTAGGTTGCTGATTAGTATTCGTCGTGGGAATGTCATGATTTCAAAATAGTTAATGGTCACTGTTCTTCTGATAATATACAAAAAAAATGTTATATTTGCTAGAGAAGTGTTGATCAAATGTTTTTCTTTCTTAATATAAACAAATATACAATAAATTAGCAAAAACATAATACTAATGACTTAAAATCCCTCATTATATACCGATTTAAGGGAAATCTTCAGGCTTGTCGAACTGGCTACCTTTATGGATTGTATTGCCTCACTCTCCCAATGAAAAAAAGTCCAACAGCATCATATTCTAATATCAGATTAAAAAATATAGGACTTGAAAAGAGATCACCCGAAGATCCATTGCCTCTTATAACATTATCATATTCATAGATACTAGATAGGTGTTTATATCTATTTTTATCTTAGAAAAATTCAAGATTTACCCTCTTTTATATATGAACTCAAGTTTTACCCTCTCTTTTTTTTCCTCTCAGATCCAAAAATATATAATTTTTTGGCAAGCTACCGTAAGCTAAAAAATATTTGAAAAAATAATATAATTTTATTAATTGTATTATTATTAATATCATAACCTAATAGATTGTACTATTAAAAACAATGCACTTTTTTTTTTCAATGCATAAATTGCGTTGTTTAGAACAACATGGACTCCCTCTCTCTCTTAATACCACGAGTTTTTCTTTTCTTTTCAATATTTGCTGAAGAGGGGATATGACGCATGTCCTCGGTGAGTTGATGGCGTGGAAACGGTCACTATATGTACAGTGATTCTTCAGTTTTTTCTACAATGAGTTATAACCCTCATCAAATAGACTTGATGGCTTTTCATTATTCTACATTAAATATGACGAGCCCACCATGTTTTCTACATTACTTTTTTTAATCTAATGAACAGCACGTTTCAGATCCAATATACATATGATGAAATTCTGGCTAGATTTTTGGTGTTTACGTTCATCTGGTCAACAGGGGAGGTCACATACATGTCGAAAGTGTGGGGCAACATGAAGGGGGGAAAAAACAAGATGGTAGTCTGTCTGAGCAGAAACCCTGAATAGCAACTTATTCTGGATAGCTCTTATCAGCTGATGATCGAGGCATGGAGAAAGCTAACAATGATTTATGGTTGAAACGCCGTGATTTTTCCTGACTGGCCTGAGAATCTTCCCCTTCCTTTCCAACTTGATCTGCAGTTGGTTCTGTGCCTAATTTGTGAGCTTAAAATAGAAAATGGTTTTCTTTATTCTTTTCCAGGAATGAGAGTATAATTTATTTCCATGAATTCGCATTTTTAATCAACCCATTACCTATGAATTTACATCTTAAATGATTGTGTGCAATTGAAAACAATTAAATAATGAAAACAAGAATTAGTAAAACCCATTATTCAGCAATCAATATATATTGTTTAGGGTTTAGTTGATGCTAATAAAATAAAAACAAATAAATTAACCTCCATTTTCTTTAATTTGACAGTACTAGATATTGTAACCATGAGAGATTCAATTATTTAATTATTTCTAGATGTTAACTTTAACATCTTTTCTGTAATATATTCTACAGATTTTGAGCAGACATTTCCTGTCCTGGAATTAAAGATACATAAGCTAGGACTGGCATAGAAGGATGGTGAAGTACTGATGGATATTATTTTTATTTTCCTAGTTTCAAATTTTTGGCCTCATAATATCAACTGAGCTGGATCTAGCAGGAAGTTGAAGGGATTCCCAGTCATCTTCACCGACACTGGAGAAACATTGGCCCACCATTTCATCACTCACTAACTCTAATCTTGCAGGCTCCCACTGTTAGAACACAAGAAATCGAAATTTGATCATTGCATTATGCACGTCATGGATACAAAGCAACATCACGCACATAGTAGTGCTCCATGCATGTACCTTGGGATTTTCGTCTTTATCCAGTAACATGGCTCTTACTCCCTGTAGGAAACAATTACATTAGGTTTTGATTGGTTAATGTTATGGGATAGAAATGACAGCTATAAATAAAGATAAAATTATATTTAATTGAAGAGAAAGGGATGAAAATATAAAATAAACATTTCTATAATAGTTTTGAAGTATATTTTTATACTTTTAAAATATAAATTATAGAAAATTATATCTCATTTATCTTTAATGTTTCCGTCTCAATTATTTTAAGATAATAACCAAACACTATTCTATCTTATACTATCTTAGATACTAACATTTAGGTTATTATCATCATATTTCAATCACCTCAAAAAAATCAATGCTCACTGTTCTTCTCATAATGTGACAAAAAATGTTATATTCACGGGCGAGGCATTGATCAAGTTCTTGCACGCGGCCTTCTCTGATCTGATCAACATACAAGAATTTTATAAAATCGTGATAGAAACAAATATGCTTTAAATTAGTAAAAGTATAATATTAATGACTTAAAATCCCTCATTACATACCGATTTAAGGGAAATTTTCAGGCTTATCGGACTGGCTGCTTTCATGGATTTTATTGCCTCTAGAACCCACTTGTCTGCTCTATTTCCTGCCTCAATCTCCTGATAAAACAAGTCAAACAGCATCATATTGCAAGCACTCCTAATATTTGACGCTTTCTATGCTACGTAAGTTTCTTTCTGCAATGTATAAGAGCTTACCAGTGATGATAGTATTTCTTCAACTGTTTTTCTTGAGAAGCATTTGTTAATGATCTCCAATCTGTTTAATGATTGGACATTCAGAATTCAGGAACAATCTTGGTGACAATATAAGATAACGGAGAAAGTAGATAAATTAATTTTCTCGAAGAACCTGATGATTACCTGCTAAAAACGCCATCTTGTTTCACATTTGGTTTGTGCTCAAATTTGCTGATGATCTCAGAAATTTTGTTGGTGTCTGAAGAAGTTACTTCATCTAGAGCACTTTCCACTAAATGGAGATCCTATGCAGAGAGAAAGAAGTTTTGAATTATGCAAACCTGAAGGTATATAAGAAAAAATGCACGATCATATAAATTTCCAAGGCATTACCTTTGAGAGGACGAAATGAGTTGCAAGGCCACATGCAACCATATCTTCCCCTCTTATCCTAGTTCCTGGAAGTCCCAAATATTCACCTAAATAAAAATGAGAAAGTATGATATCCGTACAGATATTGTTAAATTAGACAGGGTTAATTTTAAGTGGTTACCAAAAAACCCAGGGAGCCTGGAAAGGAAATGCGATGCCCCGACATCAACGAAATGTCCTATTATTGTTTCTGGCATAGCAAACACCTGTTTATGCTAGTTCATGAATCAAACAGAGTTTATGCATACTTGAAACTAGTTACATGAAGGTGATGAGAACCAAGGATTTTCAAAATTACAGCAGAGTCTAATTTGAAGTAAAAAACGGCAGGATAAGGATCTCAAACTTAAGGAGTTCTGGGTTTTGGAAGAGTTCTGGGTTCTTATTTGAATCAACTATGTTAGGTTATATTTTAATATAAATTAGGGTTATTTTTATCGGTTAACATCCTAGAACATTCATCAAGAAATAAAATACCAAAAACCTTTCGGAAGTGCTTTTCTGAAACCTTCTATTCCTACTTGAGTTTCCATCAGAAGGCCTTAACTCTGTAAATTGTCAAAGGGATTAAAATATAGCAGAAGCATACTGTATTTTCAGTGACAATCTTGAACGCTCCATTCATAGATAGCCCAGCACCAGCCCCCATCACGATTCCATCGATGAGTGCAACCTTCAATGTCCAATAGCATACATCAAAATCTATTCCAAATGATAATTAGACTCAAGAATTACAGGATATTATTGACATTTCGAATGTGCATAATGAAGGGGCCAGATAATCTTGCATGCCTACCACGGGCTTTCCATATGTGGCAACTACAAAGTACAGAATGAGATTTTTCTTGTAGGTATGGCCCCCATGACTCCAATGCCCTGCTTCATCCAAGAAGATAAACATTAATAAATAGCATCAAACATTTGCTTATTACTTGAATGTTTCATTTAAGATGACTTTCACCTGCGACCATAGAAATATATGATGCCACAACATCACCACCTGCACAAAACGCCTTTCCATTTCCCTGCATTAGATGTAGCCGAGTATGGTTAGACCATAGTGGCATCAGTGAAACGTCAATGGATAATACAGATAGAGTTGAATCATGTGAAGTTAATTAATTAATATATGATACATATTCTAGCAGATTTTCTAATCAGTTATACCTTCAGCACCACAACTTTGACTTCAGGATCAATCTCGTAGGCTTTCAACTTCTTTGTCATTTCAGAGATCTGTCAACAAAATAAATAATTAGTATATCAAGGTTTTTTTGTTCTTATGAGCAGGTTAGTGACGAAGAAAGTTGATGGTGTTGAAGTAAAAGGGAAAACGTGTAATATCACACATGAAAGGAATTATGTTTCTTTCTTTATACAATATACTCGGAGGAAGAAAGGATCTATCTAGCTACCATGTGATGGTTGATGCAGTTTAATTTCTGTGGTCTGTTCAATATGATCTTCTTCACGTATGAATTTCCTTCAAATAGCACCTAGAGGATAAAAAATGATCACATGAAAAGAAACTGCTTAAGCATTGCTTTCTGCTGCAATTTTTTTCTGGTTTACAATCGAAAAGAAATGTGGCAACAGAGAAATGAAAATGGAAAGTGCATGTGCCTGATTAACATCCTTGACGAAGGAATGCCGGATCATAGCCATTAGAGATGGAACTGATAGTCTACTCTCCTGGTCCCGAAACACAAGTCGGCAAACTAGCCTTGTTGTTGTTGTTGTTGACTCCTCAAAAAGACATGCCTTTTATAAACACTAGCAGCCACTAGAAAACAACAGACTGGTTGGTCATTTTTTGTTTAGCCATGAATGCATCTTGAGTGGAAGAAGGAGAAGAGTCCCACTGCACTAAATTTCTTGTTATGTGTTGTCTCGCATGATTTGATAGTGGGTCCCATATTAATTAGCATTAACTATTTTTTTTTAATTAAAATTCAACTACCCGCATAAAAGACAATAGAGAAAAAAAAAACAGAAGAAAAAAAAAAGTAGTAGAGCAGTCTGTTTTTTTTCTTTGATTTCCAACTCGTTCATCGTTGCATCGAGCTGAGATTTGACGATAGCTTCTAAACACGTTACTCTTCATCTTGGATGGTTGGATCAAAAATTGGTTATGTGAAAACTGACCGTTTCGATAGAAAATGAAGTTGTCATTGTTGTGAGTTTGTCTCAAACACTTCTCTCTTTAAATTTATTGTATTCCTATAATAAGTCGTTCTTAATGATATGTATATTATACCATTTAATTGATTTTAAGAAAGAACAGTTGTAAACCTATTATTTGTTGATAATGAAAGTTTTAGGTGGACTACAGTCCTGTAGTTTTTTTAACATTGGTTTTCCATGTAAAAATCTTGGTGTTAATTTGTGTGATTGTTGTATTATATTTGTTGATTGTTTTATTTTGATTTTGATAAGTTAGTATCCGGTTATTTATTGTTAATTTTCCCATCATTTCTTATAGCATTTATAAATGTGTTGTGAATTAATTATCTGCCTTCAATTAATACATGGATCCATGTAGGAGTAACTATATCAAGAATTTCTTCCCAAAATTCGATCAACTATATATACAAAAATCAACTTGTATTCATTAATTTTCTTGGATATATATATTCTTATTAGTTTTTTTCCTTCTCAAGACATTGTTATTACAAGAAAGTTATTCAATATATCAAAAGAATGGTAATTGGAAGCAAGCAGCAAATAAATTAACTTAACCAATTCTTTTTTAAGATGAAAAAACTCGTGTCTACGTGTGTCCTTTCATGAAACTTCAATTCTCTTCCATGTTTATTCCAGTATACTCGTTTTCATTTTGTATTTCACCTGTTCTACAGTACTTTTGCTCAAATTAATATTTGGTTTCTCTTTTCTTAAAAATTTTGTCTCGCGTTGGATCGATGTTGCAAAGAAACAAGAAGATGATAATAATATTTTATGTTATGTTTGTTCTAAATTATGAATTTGGAAGGAATTTAGATTGGTATATCAGTTATCTTAATCTTTAATTTTTTTTTATCATACTTAAACTATTATAAATTTAAAAGAAGTTTGGATAAATATATTCCTTTATCTCTCTATCCACCATTGAAAATTAAAGATGTTCATCAAATCATGATGTGCATGGTTATTAGAATCTTTGAAAATTGAAGATTTTCATCAAATCATGATGTGCTGGTTATTAGAATCTTTGAAAATTAAAGATTTTCATCAAATCATGATGTGCATGGTTATTAGAATCTTTGAAAATTGAAGATTTTCATCAAATCATGATGTGCTGGTTATTAGAATCTTTGAAAATTAAAGATTTTCATCAAATCATGATGTGCATGGTTATTAGAATCTTTGAAAATTGAAGATTTTCATCAAATCATGATGTGGAGGTTGAGGTGCGGATCCTTGTTCTTAGATCTTCATCAAATCATGATGTGCATGGTTATTAGTATCTTTGAAAATTGAAGATTTTTATCAAATCATGATGTGCTGGTTATTAGAATCTTTGAAAATTGAAGATTTTCATCAAATCATGATGTGCATTGTTATTAATATCTACTACATTCTTAAATAGATTCTAAAAATTGTTTTAATTAAGTAGTGATTGTTGTTATATTTTTTTAAAAAATAAATCATGAAATATAATTTGTTTTAATATCATTACATGACTAAGAGCAACAATACCATGTGGTGACTTTGATAATATTACAAATGTTTGAGTATGCCTTTTTTTTCAGTGAATTTTACACGTTTCCATAAAAAAAAAAAAAGGAGGAAATTTGACAAGGTAATGAGTTAACAGGGAAGTTGAATTTTACACGTGTCCGTAAAGAAATAGATTGTGTACGTAGCTAATCAATTGACAAAGTAATGAGGTAATGCGAGTTAAGGGCCAGGAAATATGACACGTATTAATTAATGAAGGATACATGTGAATCACCATTACCTTATTTTGGGGGAAAATATTTTAAGGGAGCCCATTAGAAAAATAAAACTCTATGGAAACTCCATGCCATTTCTCACAATAGAAGGCAAGTCACCTTTAAATGCGTTTTCTCACTTTTTTAAAAAGATAATAACAAATAGATTAAGGGTTACACCGGTTTGTTTAAAAAGATAAAGTTATTGTGTAAATAAATACTTTTCAACTCCTTTAAAAAAATTAAAAATGCATTTGAGTATAATTACGAACTCAGACCCAACATTATAAAAAAATAAAAATTAAAAACATTTAAAAAAAATTATTTAAAAAATATATTGAGATGATATTTTAGGTGCGATACCAATACAAGACGCAATAATACTGGGTTTGGGTGCTAAGCCATGCCCATTATCTGCTAGAAGTGATTTGGATCTGTTTGTCTAGCCAAACCTAGTATTTTTTTGGCACAAAATATACCAAAAAAACAATGCTCCTAGAACACTAGTTAATTAAAAAATAGAAAAGATAACATTTCCATATAGTGTCGTTTGCTATATATATTGGGGTTCATAATATAATAAATTTAAATACATAATAAATATGAAATGTTTTTCCAATCCCTTTAAAAGTGTAAAAGTGTAGTATAATAAACTGCGTGGACAAATAGGCACGTATTAAGATAATAATTAGAGCCAATTAAAAAAAAAAACAATAGATCAAGGATTAAGTTGCAAAACCCCTAATAGGCTGGGGACTAATAAGTAGTTCTCTCTATTAACCATATTTAAACCAAGTATCCATCCACTATTTAATTTTTAAACTTCAACAAATTATCATATTATTATAATTTTAAAATCTATAACAGGTTAATTATGAATCAATTAAGAATTTAATTTGATAAAATCTGATTGATTTAAAGGGTTAGCCTAGAATTCGGTGAGATCTGATTTTTTTTTTAATCTCTTCTAAGTTAAACACTGCCGTTTTCAATTATGTATCAAGCCCTTCTTGAAGCCGGTTCTGAAAAGAGGAGCAATTAGATGCCAAGGCATGAGCAGGTTTGGAACTGCAAGCATAAGCACCCAAGCGTCCAAACACCTCTTTCCTCTCAGTCTTTTTCATCGAATACCAAACGCAACCTAAAGTCAACTTTATATTTGTCTTCCTTTAATAATTTTGTTTTTTTTTCTATAATCTATCCTCGTGATTTCTTATTATAAAAGACAATTGTTTAACATTGTTATAGCCATTGTGATTGTGATTTTTTAAAATAAATTTAATAAAAATATTTTTAATTGTGGTTTTAAATATATAGGTTTTTTTAAAAAAAAAATTATCTGGTTAAATTTTTTTATACAAAATAAATAAAAAATATTTATTTTAACATCTACAAAATCAAATTTTAAAATTCAATCAGGGCCCAATATAAAAATATAAATTATTTAACTAACCAAACAATTTTCTTTTCTTCTCTATGATTTGACAAAAAAACTCTCATGGTACCACGAAATAGTTTCTAAGTTGTCTAATTTTGAATAAAAATTACCCAAAACCAAAGGTAGAGTGGTCAAACAAAGCGATTTAGACTCTGTTAGAGGAAATAAAGCATTTGGTTTAATCTCACACACACACACACATGTGTGTGTGTGTGTGTGTGTGTGTGTGTGTGTATATATATATATATATATATATGTGTGTGTGTGTGTGTGTGTGTGTGTGTGTGTGTGTGTGTGTGTGTGTGTGTGTGTGTATATATATATATATATATATATATATATATATCCTACCTCTTGCTAACAAAATTATCATTTATAGCTTTTGAAAAACACCACAAAGTGTTTTTTTTCTGGAGGTGTTTGGTTTTGATGTTGAATATGTTTTTTTTTGTTAAAATTCAAGATTATTTGTTTTAAATTAAATTTTTAGTTTTTGAATTGTTTTAAATTTTTAAAAATAAAAAAATTATTTTTAAATATTTTTAAACAAAAAAATAATTTAAAATTAGACAATAAAGCCAAGTTTTGAATAAGCATGAAACCTGGTCAACCATTATTATTGACTTGATTTAAAAAAAAAAAAAAAAAAAGATAGCTTTCAAAACTTGGTACATCCATTTGCAAAAATTATGCACCTACCACTTGCTATTATTATTATTATTTTTTTAAAAAAATCTGCTATTGGTAAGGTAATTATAGTTTTTTAATAAAATATGGTGTATAGTTTTAAAATCTGATTTAAGATGAGATTTAGCAATTTAAATTTATTATTTTTTTAAATTAAGAAGTTAATAGTTAAGATTGACAAAATAAATCAAATTATCATATCCTAAATTAACCTAATGGACCGGTATAAGTTTTTGTAAACTATGGCATGGTGAAATCTCCGCTCTCATGCGTACATGATTCAAAAATTGTTATATCCCGGGAAGGAAGAAGAGGGTGAAAGAGGGAAGAGGGGATTTGCGCGTTGTTTTGGAGGCAAACAATGGCGCTTTCTAAAACTTGAAAAATTGGCTAAGCGCAGAACTGCAATTTTACCATGCATGTTCTCCCACGTGCGCAAAACACTCCGTGGCACTTCCAGAGCGGTGCAGCGGCACAAACACGGGGCCCCACCATTCTTAAAAAGCCAGGAATCATTGTATGGTCCCTGAACTCTTCGTTCCTCGTCATATCAGACCCTTCACTTTTACCTGAATCGTATCGAGTCCTTCCTATCTATGGTTAGGAGATAATTTGAAGTCATCTATCCAATCATGACATGGCACGTGGCATCCATCCAACAACAACGGTTAAAGTATTATTCTGTGCAGTTAACTGTCTTCATAAGAGATGCCGGGTTAGAAGACTTTTGCTTCAC